TACACTTAACAAAATATAGAAGGACAAAAGATTATTCAGAATAAAAATCTGCAGACTGCCCCAAATGGCACAAGTACTTCCATGTTTAAAAAAATGAGAGTGATTTTTGTGGGAAACAAAATATTGGTTAGCCTAACATTTACTGAAGTCTATTCAAATGCAGATGTTTTTGGTGTTTTCTTATCTCAAAGGGCATCTGAGGTATATTTGAAGTCATAGTTTTCTTTTTTTCTTTTTCCTTTTTAGTTGTCAAGTCTCTTTAATCTAGAATAGTTAGCTTTTGTTTTAGGTCTTTTATGACATTCATTTTTTTAAAGAGCAGTTGTTTTGCAGAATGTCCCTCGATTTGAATTTGTCTGATGGTTTCTTCGTAATTAGATGCAGGTTAAACATTTCTGGCAGGATTATGATGTAGGTGATATGTCTTTCTCAGTGTGTCCCATCAGGAAGCTTATGTCACTTTATTCCATTATTGAGGATGCTAAATGTGAGTATTTGGTTAAAACGGTGTCTTCCAGATTTCATCATTGAAAAGTACTTTTTTATTTTTGTAGTTAATAAGCCACCTTTCAGCTGATAGTTTGATACTGTGTAACTGTCCTATTCCTCAATAATCTTTCACTCAGTGGTTTTAGCTCATTTATGATCCCTATCAGAATCAATTATTAAATATGGTGGTGGTTATAATATGCTGCTTTAAATATATATGTATTAATATATATATATACATATTAGCTGGAATTTTTCTTCCAGAAAAATCTTTCCTTTCCCTCTTCTTCTTTTACTTTTTTTTCTGTCAGAATGGACTCATGAATTTATTTTATTCGCTTTTTCTATACATTTCTGTCATTATTCATTTGCATATTCAAATTGCCCCAAATTTCATAAGCAGGAGTGCTTTCAAGTTGACTCTATCTCCTTGTGACATGTTGCTATAGGGTTTTGAGCACATCTTTGTTTTCTGGCACAAGAAGATATTTGTTTAAATCAAAATACAATAAATGCCAAGCTTTCCCATTTTGTTGTGTCTCTAAGGTATATTTTAATCTAGAGGAGCAGTCCCTCTTTGTTTTAAAATCATATTGAAGAGACTGGTCTAATTGCTATAATGTTCTACCTTCTAGACTTGTCCAATTGTTTCTTCATGGTATCATTTCACTTTATCACCTGTATTTCCTTTTCCACACTGTCCCACTTCACTGGCTCTGCATTTGCAATCCTCTCTTCCTGAAATGCATTTTGCCAACATTTCCTTAAGCCTTAAATCAGAATGTTAAATCCATCCATATGCACAGAATAACTCTGGTTGCTGGTGGAATGGAGAAACTGGTAACAGGGATCATTTCTGGTACAGGAAGTGTCAGTAGATAAAGTCTTATCCTTTCTTTCTTTTAGCCCTAGATAGGTAATTTCAGGCAGACTGCCCTGACTCAACTGAAGAAAGAAGTAGGTCTAGATTAGTAGGAACTGTGAGCCTTCCCGTAATTGTTAACCCAGAAAGGTAACAGTAGTTCAGCTATAAAGAACCTCACAGCTTGACTTCTCCACACAATTTGTAGAGCACTATTTCCAAGTTATAACTACAGAATGAAACTGGTTTTTTAACTTAAATGTACCCTGGGCAAAAACACATCATATGCCTGAAGTGATATTCTTTAATGTGGATTGGTGTTCATTCTTCATGTTAAACATGTACCTCAATTTATGCACAGATGTGTTCCTAAATGTTTTGTCAGTAATTGTCACATAGGGAGAAGTTTGCTGGTGATTTTTCTTTCTTTTTTGGACAAAAAAAAAACCCACATAAAATGAATTTGAGCCTCTGATTTTTATTCTTTTTTTTTTTTTAAAGATTTTATTTATTTATTTGAGAGAGAGAGAGAGAATGAGAGATAGAGAGCATGAGAGGGAAGAGGGTCAGAGGGAGAAACAGACTCTCTGCTGAGCAGGGAGCCCGACATGGGACTCGATCCCGGGACTCCAGGATCATGACCTGAGCCGAAGGCAGTCGCTTAACCAACTGAGCCACCCAGGTGCCCCAAGCCTCTGATTTTATTCTAAAACTTAGTATTTCGTGTTCTGGTGATTTTTATTTTGCAAAGAAAAAACATAAAATGAATTTGAGTTTCTGCTGTATATCTTCCTATTAATAGACTATGATGGATCTTTGACAAGGAAGTAGCCAGTCACATATTAAGAACTAGACCAGAACTATTAATATATTATTTGGAGAAAAATTTTAAAAATGGGAATGTAGGGTGTCTTAGTGGAAAGGGTCATGGTTTGAGAACCAAGAGCCCTACGTCCTGCCTTAAAAGACTGACTGTATAACCCTGAGAAAGTTCTATCTCCCTGTGTTTCAGTCTCCTCCACCTTAGAATAATGAGGCTGAACAAACTTATCACTAAATTGTTTTTGAATTTAATTTCCCTGCATTTTATTGCTGGTATAGTTTTTGTGGCTTCTTCTTTTTTTTTTTTTTATCAGTACTTAATCCTACTTTTCAAATATATTCCAACTGTCTACTAACATCAAAAGCACAGTTGTCTTTTAAAGCTGACAGGTGTGGGGGAGAGAAGTATTCAAATCACCCAAAGGGCCTTTCCAGCCCCCTTACCCTTTCTGATCTGCCTCCAGAACTCAGAATCCTTGCTGCCAGAGGACATTACTGTTGAGCCTCTTTCTCATCCCACTGGTGTGTTGGGGTGGAAAAAAATTGAGGACCATTGGTCTAAAGCCTTCACAGAGAGCATTCTCTGAGGACACAGGTGCTTGTCAGATGTGGGTATTAAGGGAAGCGTCCCTTCGGGGGGATATTGTCTTCCCAGCATCACTTTTACCTCTCGCAACTCCCCCACGAGTCTGAGGACCAACAACCCACAGCTTTCTTTTTTAATGGTCTGATTTCAAATTCCGTGTTATTGACACTGATCCTTTCTTTTTCACTCCACATTTTATGTCCTCTCTGCTGCTAAGCTGCCTTAAAGATTGCATATGTCATAATTCTTTTGTTGAAAGCCACAGAAATGGACTCTGGCTAACTTTAACAAAAGGAAATTTACTGGACAGTTATAGTGAGCTCAGAGAATATATAGGAGCCTGAAGAGCCAGGCTTGAGAATGGACGAGAACCAAGGCAGGGCCAGAAACAGCGCAGCAGGAACCACAGTACTGCTCTCTAGCATGGCGAGTCAGACCTAAAGGCTGGCTCTCAGATAAACGACAACTCCAAATGTTTGCTGTTTCTTTATCACGTTGCTCTCATTAGATTCCAGGGAGTAAACATTTTTCTGGCCTAGTTTGGCTCATACACCCACCTTTTGGGCAGGGGCAGAGGTTCTTCTACTATTCACTGGAAAAAGAGAACTCCAATAGAGGATCCCAAAAGGTTCTGTTAGAAAAGGCACGGGGGTATGGGGCAGTATTAAAAAAACTAAATCTGCATGTATGTTCCTACGAGCATCTTTCTCCTAGTTATGGCAAAGTTGTTTCTGAGAACGGACACTTATTCTACCTCTTCTGTTGAGAAACTGAGTTAATTTCTCTATTTACCACTTCTTTTCTAAAAGTATGAATGATCTTCATGTATGATCCCTACTTCATCCTGAGAATTGTTTTACTTAGAAATGTACAGGCGTATCCCCATCAGAAAACTGTTGTGTAAATGTGTTTAAAATCTGTTCTCCAGGGGTGCCTGGCCAGCTCAGTCAGAAGAGCGTGCAATTCTTGATCTCAGGGTTGTGAGTTTGAGCCCCACATTGGGTGTAGAGTTTACATAAACAAACAAACAAACAAACAAACTTAAAAAAACAATCTGTTCTCCATTTATGGTCAAAAGAGGTTTAAAATGTTCAAAAGTTAAACAGAGCAAATTTTCTTTAAAAATAGGAGTTATTTGATACAATAGTTCATTTTGTAACCCCCAAGGATATTGCAGCCTAAACTGATACATAAAGTAGTCTCAAGTTTTAAAGATTATGAAGGAGTATGACATGTGGGTAACACTGAGTAGAACTGCTATGTGATATTTGTAAATGGGCTCTATGCTACCCCGTCTCATACTTTCACAAAGTGATGGTGTTTTTCACCTGCTTTCTGATCTCCTTCTGATAGAAATAATCTGGCATCTCTTTCCTACATCATCTCTGTCAATCTATTGAACTTTAATGGAGTTTTTTTCCCCCCTCTCCCTACTGCAAACAATCTCCACTGGATATAGCTACGTTTTAAGGAGCTTCTGTGTTTCTTACGGTCATCTATTACTTTCTTTGATCATCTAGTCCTTTTTCTTACCTGAGAGAGCTCTTCTTTTATAAAGACTTTTCCAGATTGTACTCAGTCACATTGTACAGATTGAGTCACACAGAAAATGCTACACAAATGAAATCTGACTACCATCTAATTTCTGTGAGCATTCTGAATAGCCTTAAGATTGGAATTTGCTCACTGTGGATATGAATCTGATAAGAATGAGGAGTCACAGGAGTTCACCCAATACCGTATTCTTCAAGGTTTGATTATCCAGCTGGTGGGGTTTCGGTCCTTTGGCTTCCCATCCTTTGACCATTGCCATTCATCAGACACTCCTTAAGGGATGGAAAGAAATGGATGAAATTCAATCTGGTCTACTTTGTTTAGCTGCAGCTCTGGGTAGAGTGAAAAAAGAGGGTTTGTGGACAAGAGAAGATAAAAGTAGAAATTAGTAGCTAAATTTAAAGTAAGGGATTAGCTTCTGAAGTTTTTGATTTATGCAGCCCATGTTCCCATTTGCATAGATAATTGAGTTAGCTTTATAGAGTTTAGAGTTCCCTCACTCATAGATATTTTATTCATGGGTTATTGCCGTTAAAAATATTTAGCCACAGGAAATGAGGTTCGCGATGGCGATGTTTCCCTTCTTTAAGATCTTGATGGATAAAATAAAGCAGATATAATTCACCTCTAGAAAGATTATTTATACCCTGGCATTTGAAATGTTTTGTTTTTAGTGTCATAGTAAAAATGGAAAAAGGGAAAGTAAATGATGATGGAAAACCAGACCCAGAAAATTCCTTGGACTTTTCTGAACACTTTAACCAACTTGAATTGTTGGAAACACATGGACACCTTATTCCCACTGGTACCCAAAGTCTCTGGGTAGGGAATTCTGACGAGGACGAGGAGCAAGATGAAAAAACTGAAGAGTGGTATCAACTGCAAGAAAAAAAGATGGAAAAATCCAAGCAAATTGCTTCTTTGGGCTGCAGAAAAAAATCGGGTAAAAAACAAACAAACAAAACAGTTAAAGAGGAAACCATAATATAGTAGGAAAAGTACTGGATTCACAGCCAGAAGACCTGTCCCTGGACCTCTATTTGCTTACCACAGTGCGGAGACTGCTGTCTAAAAGGCCACTCACGTGACCGCTAGAGATGAAGATGAATATACCCCTCTTCATCGAGCAGCCTACAGTGGACACTTAGACGTGGTGTGTGAGCTGATTGCACAAGGGGCGGATGTCCACGCAGTGACTGTGGATGGCTGGACACCCCTGCACAGTGCTTGTAAGTGGAATAATACCAGAGTAGCTTCTTTCTTACTCCAGCACGACACAGATATTAATGCCTAAACAAAAGGCCTCTTGACCCCGTTATATCTCGCTGCCAGGAACAGGGACAGCAAAGATACCCTGGAGCTCCTCCTGATGAACCGCTACATCAAACCAGGTCTGAAAAACAACTTGGAAGAAATGGCCTTTGATATTGCCAGGAGGACAAGTATCTATCACTACCTCTTTGAAATTGTGGAAGGCTGCACAAATTCTTCACCTCAGCCATAATGGTTCTAATAATTTTCTTGAGTTTCCAAGTACCAGTGCCTCCTTTGTGTGAGATAGGACATATCCCCATGATACAAGGTTGACATCAAAAGTTTTATGGTAGAAATCCAGTGGTACACATTCAAATGCCCTTCCAAGCGACATGCCTAATCTTGATGTCAAAATACGTTTGAAAGTTGTTTGGATACACCTTTACTGATCTATGTGGACTTTGTATTTTTATCAGAAATGATTTTAACACACTTAAAAACTTGTAACGGGTTGTACAGAAAACTAATGATATTTTTGGTGCTGATCCAAGAGAAGTGTATTTTTAAATATTCCCCCATCCTGGGTCTTTGTGGAGTATTTAGTATATTGACATGTATTTTTATAAGGTGAGGTAACTCAGAATTTAATTTAAAAAACTCAAGTATACTGGCGCAGTTCAGCTGTCTTCTCCACATCACTATGGCCATTTGCTTTCATTTTAAACCGTAAGAACTAACTTATTAGTGACTTGAATTGTCAGAAGTTTAAGAAAACGTTAAAGAGCTTAGATCTTTGTCTTTTAGAGCATAGACCATTTTCAGCAAAGTAGTTAGCTAGAGTGTTTAGTCCGTGAATGTTATATACTTTGCCTCCGCTACCACAGTTCACACAATCCTGTGGACAGTCCTACCTCACCCTGGTCAACCCACATGATCCTTCTTCCATTGGTGAGTCGGCATGACCTTTTAGACATGCACACAACTCTACCTTGGTCCAAGAGATCATAATATATCTGCTTGCCAACTGGTTTTACCTGCCTAATCCTGTTTGTTCGGGGCACTGCTCAGATGGTCTCTGTAGTTCACAGGAAGTATCGATTTTTCCAAGTCCTCCTTTTATACAAATCCTACAAAGGCAAAGAGACAAGGGAAAAGGAATTCTAAGAGTTTAGGGATGATGATTATACTGGGGCTAGATTATAAGTGGCTCAGGCTTTAAAAAGCCACAGTGTGGATGGTGACACAAGTATAAATATGAATATTCAGAAAAAAATAAAAGCTTTGAACAACAACAACAACAAAAAATATTTAGCCACAGTGGAAGTCCTCTCAAGGAAATTCAGCCTCCGAAATGTGGCTTACAGCCATGATGCTGAAGATCTGAGAGGCACGACTTGCCCCCTTCAGCTTAATGATGGCATTGTCCCCTTGGTCACAATCTCTCTTTTGGACATTTAAATGACAGAGGAACATGAACCCAAACCATAGTGGTTTGTTCATTAATAAGCACAATATAAAACCAAATTACAAAGCTATGCTCTTCCTCAAGTTGTTAGCTTGCTATAATGTTTTTCTGTAGCAGTGACAGATGCTCTGATACCTATATAACCTCCAGAATAAGAGTTTAATGAATGTAGTATTTATACAACTTTGGAAGCCTTGAAATCAGTGCAATTCGTTTCTGTGATTCCTTAGAGTAAGAAATTAGCATTTCTGCAAAGACAATAATTTCCTAACATTTTACCTCCTATCTTATGGAAAATCTCAGGAGAGCTCGATTCTCTGCTATTTAAAAAAAAAAAAAAATCAAATCCAAACAAAGAAATATAAAGAAGTGAAAGAACAAAATAAAAACCACTTTCAATGAACCACATAGTACTGCACCATTAGAGGAAAATGGGGAAGAGTTTCAGCCCCCTGGATGCTTTCAATCCCCCCACCCTATCCCTGCCCTCTTCCTCAAAGAGAGCACCTGTTGAGGCAGAATCCCTGCTGTGAGTTTCCACAAAGTTCGATGATCCAAATGATGTAACATTGTGAGCAGCAACTGCACTGGCAGAACATTATCATAATAGCCTGACCTCCTGAGCTTTTCCTGATTACCTGGATCTTACCTCCCAAAGGGAAAATGACTTCAAAGACTGAACCTCTTGCCTGAGATTTTCAAAGATTCAGCAACTCAAAGCTACAGACTCTCCCAACTTGTTTTCCACATGCACGACAATGCCAGAAAATGAGCCGAGTCCCCATGAGAGCTCAGGAGGACATGGAAGCAGCACCCTCCACTCAACTGGTCTTTTCACACAGAGCTGCACACTTGTCTCTGTCATTGTAGATACCAGGAAGACTGGGGATTCTTCTTTCTCCCCTCTCTGCCCGTGTTGTTTCTACTTTAACATTTTTTCAAACAGAGCTTTAGTTTCCAAAGTCCATTTGGAAAGTCAAATAGATTAGAGTTTCAAAACAGTGCTAGCCCAAATCCGGTTGAAACTTTTAATTAGTCTGATGTTATTTTTAGACTTGCTCAAAGCTTCATAATTGAGCCCTTTGCAGTTGTACAAACAAATAGAAACCTTGTAAGATCTTGAAATTCATGATAGTTTACTAATGAAGTCAGCTTGGAAAACTCTTCATTGAATATTGTAATTTGATTGCCATCTTATTCTGATTGGACCCTGGTTTTGCATTTAAATGAGTATGTATTATTTGAAATGCAAAACAGCATGTTATCTGGGGTATTTTGCAAGAACAGACAAGATTAAAAACATCTAATGTTCCATTTTATAAAAACATTACAAAATGGAAGTGCAGAGCTGACTTTTAAAATTTATTAGTAACAGCTTACAATAATTGGACATTAATTAATCCTAAACTACAAGACATTTCTGTGGAAATGCAGATTACATTCTTCCCATCAGTACTCAGCAGATTCATTAGTATTATTATTTTTGTTTGGGATACTGAAGGCACTAGTAACAATTTCTTACCAAAGCAGTCATGGTTATGGAATCAACTGTTACTCATGTGAATTTAACACCACAGATCACCAATTACTGATTCTGCAACAACTGACCTTGAGTATCCAATTAAAAAAAAAAAAAAGCTGCTGCAGTAGCTAAGGCAAGCTGAGTTCAGGAATCAGGGTCTGTGTCGGCTTGTTCCAAGCTTTGATTTTTTTGTCAGCCTTTGTGTTTTAGACAGAGTGGAAGGAATTTTGTGATTCTGTAACCCCTTATTTTTATTTCTCAACTGTGGTTTTTTCGTCTTACATAGAAAATTGTTTTCAATCATATCACCCCAAAAAAGAAGATTTCTGTTTGAGAGGAGCTTGGCGGTCTCCAGGCAGCCTTCTTTGTGTTTGATTGTTTGACTGTCTGAAGTTTCCATGACATCTATTCTCAGACACGTAGAGTTACTCATAATATATTATACTGATTTTTTTCCTCCTTTCGGGATTTTGCTGACAAAGGGTTGTCAAACAGGACCTTGGACTTATAAGTATATTGTCCAGGTCTTTGGAATAATTCTGCATTATTAAGATATTACAGAGTGGGTTGTAGTCTAGGAATGGCTACTTTATTGGGATTTGCATTGTGAGACAAATATTCTTTCACCAGTTTTGTATTCTTGAACTCAAATCCAGTGAAGTCTTAGTGGATGGAGGAACAGGAATTCCTAGAGGTCTCCAGGAGTAAGAATGAGGGAAGAAGGTAGCCATGACAATGCCTACAACAGCGGTAGAGACAGCAGAGAAATGGCATGGCTCGGGACCCACACTCTTTGGCAGGCTTGTGTGTGATCCCGATCTCCATGTTCATTCAACGTCAGTACAGTGCTGATGGGTGGTTCTGAGGGTTTCATCAAAGTGTTCTATCACCTGTGGGGTGTACACAAGTACCATTGTCATTGGATCCATTTGGTGAACTGTGTCAAAGCAATTTTGATTTCTGAGATTCTAAGGTTCATGAAGGGCTGAACTTAATCCTTCTTTTTCAACCGAGTAGCCACAAATGCATGAAATACCAGTTTTTTAAACTAGAAAAATTCAAATGTTCTGAACTCCAATAAAGGCTAAAATCAAACTGCTTTGGTTAAAAGAAAAGACACAGAAAATTTGAGAGCAAATCTTAGTCTGAATGGGCATTCTACTAACATAGAGATCACGTACTGGGTCTGGACTGATTTTGACTTGAGGGAGGTGCTGTTTAAGTCCATATCTTATGAGTCTTGTTTTATGTGAATGAGAGCTGCCAGCTTCCCATATGACCCTATATACCCAACCAAACCAGACTGATCTGAGGCCCAGTACATCACCCAAACCCACCCATTAAAGTCTTTCCTATTTTTTTCTTTGATTGGGGGCAGAGGAAAGAGTCATCTTATCCCTGTTGGATACAATGAGAATATGTGAAGCCAGGTTTCCAGTTGCCATGATTCAAATGTCATGGATAAAGTTGACCAAAGAGAATATAATTGAAGTGAAAGAGAAGTATTAGCAAGAGATCAGGAGCAGGGCTATTTGAGTCAATGGTTCTGGTTGTCCCAAGGTCACCACTCCCCTTTCCAAGTTTAATTATTCTTGCCAATAAATCCCCCTACTTTAGGCTAAGCCCCTTTGAGTTTTATTTCTCTCACTTGCTACTAAGAATGATCCCCACGGTTAAACAGAATTCACTTCTCCCTTCTCTCCTCTTAGTAGGAAGGGAGTGAATAGGAAGCTGGCCATAAGGAATGAGTTTCTTCTGAACCAAATCCCTGTCCAGAAGGAGAGGCAAAAGATAAGCATGCATCAAATATCAGCTCACCTGTCATATGTCAAACACTGGACTGTTTTTCTGATTTTACAGTTTCAGCTGCAATCTTGATTTTAATCTCTTACTTACTGGAGGTTTTCCAGAGTATATTTCTAGAATATCTTAGGCCCCTGAAAGAGATTGAAATGTCCAAATTGAGTACTAGATCGCAACATGGCTAGTTAAATGTGTATCTTATCCCCTGAAGGACACTTCAAGACCTGGGGATTCATTGCACAAGGAGTACAGAGGAAAGGGAAAAATCAAAATTGATTATGGGTCTGTGTGAATGAGAGTATGGGGCAAGAAGAAGCCAAAAATGGGAGGTAGTAGAAGGAATTGAGGAAATAATAGAACCAAGATGTGACGGAATCATAAAAATTATTGTTACAAAGGATTTAAAAAGAAAGTGATAAACATAGTGCTGAAAATGCAAATGTTTAGGAGGAATTGAATTTAGAAAAAGTTTGGCTTTGGCAGTTATGACAACCCTCAAAGATGCAACTTTAGACATGAGAGGTGGGTAAGAGCAGACTCTAGCAAACAAACAACAAACAACAACAGAAGGGAAAAAGATAGGGAGACAGAGACAGAAAAACAGAGAGAGAGAGAGAGAGAGAGAGAAGATCCAGAAAAAATGATAGAGATTACAGGATAGGAAAGAACCAATGATTAAGCAATCAATTAGATGACACGAAGGACAAATGGAAAAATAAAGAGAAGTAATAATGCAATGATATTTTGAAAAGAGAAATGGAATTAAGGGAGTTTGGTTTGGGTTAGCTAAATTTCACAGGTGGATTAAGTCATCTGACAAGATGAGGAGGCCAAGTGAAGTGGTGGGGAAACTGAAGATTCTAGGGCATTTTGGAGTTCATAGTCTCTCATGCTTCATCTCCCCCTTCAATTCCCCCCCCCAATTTTTCCCTTCCTTCTCCTAATGTCCTCCATGCTATTCCTTATGTTCCACAAATAAATGAAACCATATGATAATTGACTTTCTCTGCTTGACTTATTTCACTTAGCATAATCTCCTCCAGTCCCATCCATGTTGATGCAAAAGTTGGGTATTCATCCTTTCTGATGGCTGAGTAATATTCCATTGTACTGAGGGTTTTAGAGGGGAGGGGGTGGGGGGATGGGTTAGCCCAGTGATGGATATTAAGGAAGGCATGTATTGCATGGAGCACTGGGTGTTATACGCAAACAATGAATCATGGAACACTACATCAAAAACTAATGGTGGCTAATATAACATAATAATTAAAAAAAAGATTCTAGGGCATTTTGGAGACATATGCTGTGACAGGGTCAACACGAATTGACTGATACATTCATTACTATATATCTGTGAAGGATCTGTTACTATTTTATAACATATATTCACTTTAGAACCAGTAAATATGTCTTCAAAACTTTTCCTAGTAACTTGGCAAAGAGAGATAGAAGAAAAGGAAATGCAAGAATTCGCCAAAATGCCTCACCATGGGGTTCAGGTT